TCTCTTCTCAGCTGGGAAAAAACACACTATAACTATTGTGCTCAGACATCATGCCAAAACTCTCTCAGATGTCTCAGAATGGAAGTGGTGGGAGCGCATTTATGGAATTAATCTAAATTTAGCACACTAATTCACTAAATCAAGCGAAAATAACGGAAAAAATTCCTTCCACTAAATCGAGAATTCGTCATATCGGAGTCCATTAAATCGAGAGTATACAGTACTGTACAGTATTAAGCTATTTTATATGTACTGTATTTGACTCAAGTTTAATTAAATGTACACCAGTACCTCAACATATGCGAGCTCAACTCTCTCGAATTCGACTATCCGCGAAATGATCTCAGAGGTTTTTATCTATTAAAATAACACAAAAACTGCGGACATCTGCCATGGTATGATATCATGGCATCATGCTGAATCCAGTACGGCTGTTCTCTCCCTCCAGTCTCGCTTGAGAGTTCTCCCGCATCACCCGCCAGTCTTGTCTGAGAACAATTCTAATGTTGATTATAGCTGTCATGGCTCCCAAAAGGCCATTAACTGGTGACAGTGCATCAGCGACTGGCTGTGCATTTGAAGTGAATGAGCTAACTGCTCATGCCACAACGATAAAAGGCAAGGAAATTAGAAGTAGTGTTGCTCATAGCGCACCACACAGTGCTGAAGTTACTCATCAGATACACGATAAATGTATGAAGAAGATGGAGAAGGCGTTAAGTGTATGGATTGAGAACACGATTCACGAGTGTCAAAGATTTTAACATATGATTTACAACTATGACCCATCAATGGAATTAAGCATCAATGTGAAGCGGATTATCGAGAATGTTTTACAACCTTATCAAGAAACTTATAAAGAACTAAAAGAGAAAGCCAAACAATGGCCAATAACAATGATTTTAATGCCGAGATCCAACCCCTCCCTCTCCTCACCAACCAGTCGGCATAGTGTGCATCACCCCTCCTACACTCACAGCCTGCCTCTCCCCTTCACTCCACCAATGCAAATTACTCACCTGCCAGCCCTTTATTGGACATTCTGGATGATCCCAGTCCAGGTCTTAAAGAAAGAGCAGTAACATCTTCAGTATCATTACTGAGGCTTCTACAGCAGCCATTATGAAGTAAGAAAAGTAAACTTTATATACATAAGTAGCACTGCTAATTAGTTTGCTCCCATAATGTTGATATTACACTTATGACTGGGATAAATTATATATTCTTCTCAATTATAAGTTTGCTACAGGAAAACCTAATATTCAGTATGCACACAGGTTTCATTCACAGCATTGCTTGTCAGGCGTGCATTCATGTGTGTTCATGGCACAGTGGTGGTGGTACGGTATGGGCCGTGTGAGGCAGGCAGCAGACTGCCGCTATTGCAATGCACTTGACTTCCCTAAAATCAAACCACATATACTTGCTTTTCAATTAATTTATTAACACATAATACAACTGTATACAGTAACTGTACATACCTGCGTAGTATTTAGAGAGCCTAATTAAAATAAACAATTCTCATTTTATTTATTTTGTCCCTAATTTATGGTACACTATAATATAAAAAATAGGGTATTAAGGAATGTTTTCCACGAAATTCTACATTCGTGGGTGTTTGGGGTACCTATCCCTCACGAATGTTGAGGTGTGAGTGTATGATACAGGTACAGTAAGTCCTCGATATATGTGAGTTCAGCATATGCAAATTCACTCATATGGCAAGACCCTATTCCTACCAGGAATTCAATTAATGTGAGCAAAATTCAGCCTTATGTGAGATGTCACACTCTGATATGGACTCCAACCCTGATGACCCTGCAGATGTCACTCCAACATCATCACCCACTATGTAAACCCTCTACCGCCACCACCATCTCGTCTACCCTAGTTGATGCATCTGCTTTTATTGTTAAGTACACTGTACTATACACTTGCTTTATCTATTATTTAAAAAATGATTTTGTATTGACTTGTTTTATGGTTTATTAGTCTTGAAAATGGGTCTGTAACATTTTCACTTTGGGTTCTGGAACACACCCTATATTTTCCCATTTAACTAAAGTATTTGATATATGCGAGGGTTTTACAGGAACGTATCCCTCACATATATCGAGGACTTACTGTATTGTTCAGTGAAGGAACTGGCAACTTAGTTAGGCTTTGACAAGTGTTCTCTGTGGCCATGAAACCTAATCCCCTATTTCCGATAAGCCTTTGGTCTTGCCACCCACGGGATTTTCAGAAACCTAAACCATGCCGTTGGCGAAAAACTACTGTATTGAAACAGAATGATAATTTATCTTGATAAAACTTTAAAATTTAAAACTTTACCAAATCTTTGAACAGTATAAATGTCATATGACTCCTTGTAATATAAAACATTTTAATGTAGACCATCAGATTAAAACATATTAATTTCATTAAAGTACATGTACAGTAGATAATATACATTTGGGGGCGTGACTTCGTTCACTACTCTAATTATCAAATACAGTAAGTTCTCATGTAACGTCGCCCCGCTTAACGTTGTTTCGGTACAACGTCGCTACTCTTTAGATGCCAATACTAATTCGGATAACGTCCCGATGACTCAATTTAACATAGTTTTTGCGTCGTCACTGACTACTTTTTACGGCGCATCACCCTCTCTCATCTTGCCGCGCTACGTTCTCTCGGGAGGAGAAGGCAGCCGGCAAGTCACAGTGACTCACTACCTTCCTCCTCCTTCCCTCCCGCCATCTGTCTCCTCCGCTTCACTACCCACCACACACTCGCTCCACCACCTCTGACCATCCATTGAATTTCTGTATATGTAATGTATTTCATGGGGCAAAGGGAGGGTCAGCAACGTAACTCTGGTATTCTATCTATTTCTTATGGAGAAAACTGATTAGCCTAAAGTTGTCTCATATAACGTCGCGTTTTCAGGAACGTAACCACAACGCTTAGCGAGGACTTACTGTACTTGATGTCAAACAGGTTCCATGCAAATGAACATGGCAAATCATGTGTCAATATCAGTGAGACAGTTGTAGCTGAAGGCCTACAGGTGTAGCCCTCTACTGTCTCAACACGTCATGACTCAATACTTTCTCCAACTATGTCGCCCATTAGTGTATCATCTGATGTTACTGGACTTTTATGATTGTGCTTTAACTGTTTTCCCCCAATTTCATTTCCAGTTCGAACCAAAACGTGGCCACGGCCACACTGTACATATGGCCTTAACCGTTAAATTGGAAGCACTAGTAAAGTACTGTATAATATTTTGTTTGTTACAGGGAAGGTTAAAGTAAAGTAAAATATACCTGAACTCACAAAATATGTGGATATTAATGGTAAGCCAGAACAGTTTGTATTATAAATAACAGCACTTACTACCAAAGTCAGTCTTTTCTCAGTTAACTGAAAAGGTGGGAATACTTGAGCAAAAGAGCAAAAGGTGTTGAAGAACTTTGACAGCATGTGTGATATATGGACACTGATGATAAATGCCGGAAGAAAAAAGATATTGATTTTTTAAAGTAAAGAGTTTGGCATGGTGAACTTTGATAAACACTAGAGAATAAATATGGGAGGTGAAAATGTAAAATTATGGCCCCCCTCCCCCCTCCCAACAAAAAAAAAGATGCTGGAGGAAGTTAAATATTTGGGAGAGATGTAAAGTAAAAATAGTGTGATACAGAGAGACATCAAGAGTAGAAAACCAAAAACCTGGAAGGAGGAAGATCAAAAACCTGGAAAGTATCATCATGAGAAAATGAAAGTTTGGAGGTAAAGAAGAAACTCAACAAACAGTACAGCATGTCCTTACAATTCTCGGGGATTAGGTTATCAAAATGGCAGCAAATAGCCAAACCTGCAAATAACGTTTGCTAACCAGGGAGGGGGGGGGGGGGTACATTTTTACTTGTGTGCAAAGAAATGTATATTCCCTTTAAGTGTTTGCCCTTAGGACAATTATTTCTTTTACCTTTATTGTATATATGTGTGTGTAGAAACACTCACACAGACACATACAAATAAATAATAATGTATTGTATATACAGTATATATGTGTAATAATAATAATGGTTGCCCCTTGTGTAACAAGGATGGACAGTCTAAGGGCCACCTTGGCGTGAATTTGTTTAAGGTGTAGAAGCTGTCGCCAACTCAACAACCACATCCTAAGTTAACGAGTTGCATGACCCAGTGTCAAGGAATAGTCTGAGAAGACCGGACAACTCGCCAACTGCACTGGCTAACCGTTATCCCGGAGAACGATCCGCAAATCAATTAACATCCCGGGACCCAATTACTGCTGGGTAGACAGAGGCAAATGGCATAGAGAATTTTGTCCATAGTCACACCTTGCTCGGGGATCGAACCCGGGTTCGCTCACTTGCGAGGCGAGCATGCTGACCATTACACACACATATATACAATACAGGTAAGAGAAATCACTGTCTCTTGAACGAATGGCTCCCTGTCCCGGCCACGAAAATGCCAACAACTTTAAAATTACCCCCAGACACTCTTGGGTACATCCAGGGTGTCATCCGCAAATAATCGAGGTCCGTGAATTAAAAATCCCCGAATTGTCAGGGCATGTTGTATTATATTTCCTGCCCTAACTTATGACAGTGAACCATGAAACTGAGTGAATTAATATGTTCTAAAATTCAAGCAACAGTCATGAGTTAGATGAAAACTGTAAAGTACCGTATTACTGAACATGAGTAGAGCTATAAGGAAGGTTTTCAAATATTGTGATACTTCATACGCATCACAAATGTGGATTCATATCTTATTTCAACATTCAAAAAAGTCCAAAGCAGGAATGAAAAAAATATTAAAATTGGAAAATTATTTTTACTTTTTTCCTTAAAAAAAAAAAATGGTCTAACTACATAGCAAACTGCAATGCACTTCATTCTTCTTTAAAGTTTCTCTGCAATCTTTCCAAAGTTAACAAGGAAACTTTTTCAATGTACAGTACACAAAAATATACTCACTAGGAAGTGGACCACCTAAGCTCTCATTACTGCTAAAGCATTGACCCTTCTCCACCAGGTGATGGTGTGGTGTGCGTTTTCGTAACCCAACAGCACGGTCTCCCACTTCTGAAGTGTTTGTGTTGGTTCTGTGGGGTAACAAAGAGGCTTTATATTAGGAAGTTGAGACATACAGTATCTCATTCTGTAAACCTGAAACTGCATTAGCAATATATGAAAACACTATTGCCACCCTAGGATAACTCCACATTGACAGCAGTGGATATTTTAATTGAGATATTCACCAATACAGTACAGGTGCTCCTCTACTTACAAACATTCAACATGAATTTTCAGAAATACGAACATCATCATTGAGGGAATTACCTGCCAGAGTTGTGTTTATGTGGGTGAAACTGGATTATCTAGGAAGAAAATACCTAATAGAACATATAGTGCCTAAAAGGAAAAGTGTATGCCACATTTTAAGACTGTACTGTTGAGTACTATATTGTATAGCTGTACTGTACAGTACTGTATATCCTTTGTTTTAATATTTTACATTATACACTGTACCCTCATTAATTTGCATCATTATAATTTGGATTTCAATTTACTTTGTATGTTTTTCAAAAATCAATTAAACTATTTAAATTCGGAATGAACCTGAAATAACAGAGCAGTTCCGAGAAGTTGCGTAGTGACAGGCTTGAAAGTTCAGTCTCGTCAATTCAACTGTGATCTCTTGGATCCCTAAGCAAGCTTGGGTCAAGTGCCATCCCACTTGAACTATCGTATTTTCTGTGCGGTTTTTGCGGACGATTATTATATAAATATAATCATCCATTATGAAATATTGTACACTGTAGATAAAAATGAATGAATTATAGGAATAAAATATGAATTATATTAAGACCCAAAACTATGTTTGGGTGCATAGCCAAGGAGGAGGGAGGGAGTGCTGGCTAAAGAGAACAACTCACCTCTCACCCTCGTCAGCCCGTGATCCCCCCAAAATCCTACACTCAGTCCCGGCTGAGCTATCTTGTCATAGTTTATTCCCAGTCTCTTGTTTACAGAATGATAACAGCTGATCATTCCTGCTCTCCCTAACAATGTTGTTGTCACTGCTTACCATAGGATCTGTCTTGGCAAACTTAGTAAATAATACCGTAACGTACAGCATTTACCAGAACGTAATAACTATTATTGTAGTGCATAATGCGTCTCCATACACCATGCACTCGATCTATTAACTCAGATTAAATTAAGTTTACCAATTTTTTGTGACTTTGTGACACCAAATACTAGTCGAGAAGTGATTGGCAGTCCGATTTATTCATCTAGGACCATTATTTGACTTCATTCCGGCTATATTTGGCTACATTTGGGTAATTAGTCGGACCCATTCATGTGGTTTCAAGTCGACCAGCCCTGATATAGCTGGAGGCCCCCAGATTGTGGAGGCACCTGGGCAGCTGCCCACTTTGCCCACTCCTGAATCTGGCCCTGACCAGAAATACTTCATGCAGAGTAGTAAACATAAGAATAATTTACCAGTACAGTAGTGGACTTCCAAAGTGCCAAGAGCACTATCATGAACAATGGCTGAACCATACATAGGCCTCCCCTGACCTAGCCACTACTAGCTGTAGTGACCGTGAAGTACCGAGACATTGGTTACACAGTAAATGTTACCCCCCAAAAAATCAAGTTAACAAAATATTTTATTGAGTTTTGGGTGTTACCCAGGGGCATTAAATGAATCTTAACCTTATTGATAACTTTAGTGTTCATGTACACCGCCACTATACTAAGCCAAAAACCTAATAAAAAAAAATAATAAAGCCCAAACATTTACTTTATAACAAATACAGTCAGTTGTAACTTGAACAATTACATCCATCTCACCTGTCCCGAAATTGAAGTGTAAGCTGCTTGTCAACCTGGCCCCCATCTACCACATCCTTGACGGGAGCTTGACCACCAGACGACCCACTCATGAGCTCCGTCCCTGCCACCTTCCCCTGGGACTCCTGGTGACGATTTTCCTTGTCGTTTTTATCAGATTGAATATCAGCCTTGATTTCTGATCCTACAACTTTACCGAGAAACCCTCCCCGGCCATACTGTGAGAGTTTGGTATCCCTGTGTGTGCCATCCAGGGAAATATTAGACAAAAATGTAAGTGCAGCCAACCTCCTACGGGAGCGCTGCCGCTGCATGACCGTCGCCATCTTCACTACTGGTGAGGGGTGTGAGGCAGGCACCGTCCCTCCACCTGCACACACAACAAAACCAGACTTTAATAACGTCTCTGTTCAATATATGTTATTTTTTATTATATTATAAACTAAATACTATAAAATAATATGTAAATTTGGCTACTATTTGGGAATTAACTTAAGATAAATGCGTAAAGTAACACACGGCGCATGACAATGGTTTAAACCTCACACGTTTTATCATCATTAAACTGATAAGACGGATTGAAGGTTACTACGCATTACTCATGAGCCATTACTACTGATAAATTTCAACAACACATCAAATCAATCAACTAAGAAAAAAAAAATAATGTGAAAGTAATATATGATGGATAAATTAATTACCAATGTGTATGGTAACAATAACTCCCAGTATTCCAGCTCATTTACATAATAAGCTTAATGAGTTGGAAATAATCTACCTGGATACACAATATGGTGGGAACATGTTTAAGGAGACCCAAACCATTTAGTAATATTCAACTTTACTCAATACATACAATTTTTTATTAGCTGCTGCTGAGAGGAGATCATGATAGCCTTCAGTATCATCCGGCCTATATAACATTTCCGGTTATGACTCGTTGGCTAAATATATCAAATAACATTATAACAATCAGTGTTAGGTCTGTTGGATCACCAGTTTAGTGGAGTATTTAAGTTTCTGGAAAGAGGGAGCAAGATTTGAAGGGCATTATTTTATTGACGATACTATAGTGGTCGGTCTACAAAGATATCTTTAGTCTAACCTAACCTGACCTAACCTAACCTGACCCAACCTAACCCAAGCTGACCTGACCTAACTTAACCTAACCTAACCTAATCTAAACTTACTTAAATATCTTGTAGACCGCACGCGATACAGGAGTAACAAAACCCCCTCAGTTAAAGTGCAAATTATAACAAAAGACCCTCAGTTACAGTGCAAAATAGGTTCGGTTAGGATTTATTAGATTAGGTTAGGTTGGGGTGGGTTAGATTAGGTTATGTTAGGTTAGGTTAGGTTAGGTTAGGTATTGCAGTCTTATGATATAGCAAATGTAATATTTTACATGTCAGAGAAGTGTTCATAAAGTGTAAATAATAAAGAATAAAAATATTAAAAAAAATATCATTACATCTGATGATCATTCCTGTCACCTTACCTAGTTTATAAGCGGGATTACCTTTAAGTCAATAATTTCCAGCTTAGGAAACATGTGGTAATTATCTCAGAGCTTTGTAGGATCATGCCATCATGTTTTTTTCACTTCATTTTATTTTGTTCACACACAAAAGGCGCTGCATAATTAGAGAGAAAGCATGATATACTAACCTCGGCTTTGGTTGATCCTTGAAAGAGTGTTAGTGAGTACCAATATTGTAGCCACGCCTTTAAGCATGTATTTTTGACTAACAGTACTGGAGATCATATACTTGCCATCAACAACATAAATGTATTGCAATGTCTCAACAACTAAGAGCTTTAAGTAGATTCATACACGAGATAATAACATTGAAAATAACAGTCGGTATTTTCTTCCTGTTCTTTTTCCTGTGGCAGTAAAAGCTAGTGATTTTTTCATGCCAATTGCAAAGCTAGTGTAGAGCAAAACAGCTGACATTCAGGCAAGTTGCAAGGTCAGTCAAATGTATTTAAACATGGTACATAAACAATACTGTCGACAACATTAGTGACACATTCCACATATCCAAGGTCTAACGTATGCAAAGTAGATTAAACTGCAGATTTCAGAATGTGAATTTGATGTTGCGCAAATAAGAAATGTTGCACTTTGCTAAAGAAAATACTGAAAGGGAAACCTATAACACCAGCTTAAAGTATGCACGTGCAGTGATTGCATAATGGCCTGGAGTATTATTGTAATTTGGGTAATTTAAAAAAAAACCATTAATGTACAGCAACAAACTTAAAGATTCACAGTCACTAGAGGGAAGATTACCATGAATGTTTAATTTCCAGAACTATTATATTTTTCGTAAGTGTTTTATATCACTTGAAGATTAGGCACTCCAGATTATTTCACCTTATTTAACTTAACCTAACCGGTAACAGGTCAACCCTTGCAACAACTGACTCGTCCCTATACACTCTTGTAACCGAAACTAAATCGTGCTAAAAATAAATACTTTACCAAGGTTGTTGAATGAATGCTTAAATACCACTCTCCAGAGGCCACCAGTCTAGGGGATGCTGTGTATTGGAGATGCTATGTATTGGAGATGCTATGTATTGGAGATGCTGTGTATTGGAGATGCTGTGTATTGGAGGTGCTGTGTATTGGAGATGCTGTGTATTGGAGATGCTATGTATTGGAGATGCTATGTATTGGAGAAGTTGTGTATAGGAGATACTGAGTACAGGAGATACCGGAAAGAGCTCTCGATGTGACTTCATTGGGTAGGAGGGCTCGGGAAGGTAAAGACTGGAATTGTTAAAAGTGATAACTGGATCCCCTGAGAGATACAAAACCTTAGAGGATTGGTAAAAATAATCCGGGAACGTTTAGAGTTGAGAAGACTGTGGTCGCTAACCCTCGGGTATTAGGATGGTACTGTGATTTTAAACTCTGTGCTGGTTTATCTGTGCAAATTACAAAGCAAATTGTCAGTAGGTTTGAAACGTTTTAATCGAGGTGGGGTGATGTACTGAACGATATTCTACACTGAAAAAAGGACTGTATAGTTTTGAACACCGACCATGTCATATTCATTATCGGCTGCCTTCTACCGCCTGGACTCTCCCATGCCTTCGGCCCAATCATACACGGGCTTCAGTACTCCAATCCACGGTTTGTGCACGGCAATTGCTCATCACTAATTTCTAATTCAAATGATCAATTCTTGGTTCAATTAATGTTTTTCTCGCTATGACTAACTGCTTCGCCACACCTTCGCGTGCCCTATACTGTGGCTTCTGTTGAGGCGTTAATAGAGGTGAACAAAAGACATTATTATATCTCTTATTGGTAGTTCTACATCCTTCCATTAATTAAGTTTACTCGAGATCAACCAAACAAGCACATGCAACATAATTCAGCAAATGTCATCATGCTGACGCTGGTGTTGTGGCAGACACGCACTCCCTGAGTTAACAACACAATGGTCTCTGGCACTGGGGTGATTGAACTCCCATGGTCCCGTGTGTAGGGTCATTGAGTCAAACTGATCAAGAGTCAGTCAAACAAACGTAATATTAAATCGTAAGGACCCGGATCGTCAAAGGTTCATACGTTGTTATTATTACTATTTTTTTTTCACCTTACTTGATATAATTGTAACGTTTCTTAGCCTTTCGACCTCAGCCCCTCCTGTAGTCAGGTTTAGGCAGTCCAGCACATTTTTCATCTGGTTTTAGAGACTACAGTTGCTACAGGGCTATAACAAGTAATTGTGTATTCTAACTGTCCTAACGTATCGTACTGCACTTGACAGAAGTCCTTACCTAGCACTCCTTAAAATCGATTTCAGCACCACATGGCCTGGTTAAGAAACGCTGAATACATTCATACCTGGTAGAATTAATGACTTCTTGACTGGCAGTAGCTTCTTTTAATGTTACTATTGTATTGTGGAAGAAAACATTTAGGTTTTTATCTTATCCATTTGGACGGGCTTACAAAAGCTATTACGTACACTACACTCATAGTTCTGTAATCAGACAAGGCATCTTTCTGCCAGTTTTATGCTTTAACTTACGCTGTCTACTCAGAAGTGTTCCTGTAATTCCAGTTACGAGAACACCTTAAGGTCAGTGTCCAGAATCACGGAGGTTCGTATCGTAATTATTCCTCGTAATTGATATTGCAGCATTACACCTGACTGGTGACTTAGGCTGTAGTGCATATAAGATTTCCAAGAATAATTAATTTATGAATCACATTGATTCATTCCATAACTTAGATAAATACTTTCTCTTAACATAAAGTAGAGGATTACATACAGAACCTCTCCAAGGAGTAAATTAGAAGCAGCAGAAATTATTTGCGTAAGAGCAGATATGATGTTGAGAATAAGAATTACCAAAAATGTAGAAAAGATATACATGTTTTAATAGTGTGGAATAAGGTTTGCTCAGCTTGTATGTACAAGAGAATATAGGAAGGAAAAAGTGTTTATTTAATTCAGATGTGGACGGCGTGAGAGGGAAACACCAAAAAGGGTGTGGAAGGATAGGGGAGTGATTAATGCACCACTGTGGGACAGACGGACTTCCAGGTTGTATCAGTGTGCATGAATAAGTGGAAATCATGGCGCTAAATTGACTTGGGGTAAAAACGTGTTGGTGTTGGGAGGTGATGATTATGCGAAGCTTCAGGGTTAAATAAGAACTGGGACCTTGTGGCAGGAGAGCGTTGTACAAATAAAAATTGAATGAGTACACGCACACATATATATTTATTTATTATATACCCACTAGAAATGGCCATGCCGGGAGAACAAGGCTCACTGATATCTGTTGAGTATGTCTCTAAGCTATCTTGTCTTATCTGTTGAGTCTACGTGACAGTTACCATGTGTAACCCTAAACTTTATATGTGCTCTCTGAGTCATTGATCATTCTATTCTCACCTATCAGTTGTAAGCACATCAACTTTTAACTTGATCTTGAGTTCTCTAACTTTTATTAAGAAATTATAGAGGTTAAACTAAAGGCATCTGGGGTATTGAGTTAGGTTAGTTTAGATTAGGTTAGTTAAGATTAGGTCAGGTCAGGTCAGGTTAGGTTAGGTTAGTGTTAGGGGTGGTTAATTTTCAGGTGAATTTAATTAAGCTGCGGCGAATCATCGGGTGATCCAGAAAGTTAAGTGGGTGGCCAACTACATCTCATTAGAGTGTTTAGTGATTGGTCTGCATCTCATTCTCATGTTTGGGCACTTGCTTACACCTCATTAACTTACCAAATTAGTCCAGTAAAATGCCTGGTGAGTGTTTGGCAGCTCCCTATAATGCTTAGTCAGTAGCCCATC